ATCCTCCCAAAGCAGAAGATCTTTTTTTTTTTTTTAAGATTTTATTTATTTATTTATGAGAGAGAGAGAGGAGAGAGAGGCACAGAGACAGGCAGAGGGAGAAGCAGGCTCCATGCAGGGAGCCCAATGTGGGACTCAATCCCAGGTCTCCAGGATCAATCCCCGGGCCAAAGGCAGACGCTCAACCACTGAGCCACCCAGGGATCCTCTGAAGCAGAAGATCTTCAGGAGACTCTAGCCTGAGACCTTCATAAACAGAAGACAGCATGGCATAGACAGTTTATTCTTCTAAATCTTCAGAAGAAGGCCTCTGGAGCCTTGTCTCTGGAGCCACAGATTAACATAGTTTCCTTTGTCTAGCATTTTTTACTTACATTTTTGCCAATTTCTTTCCACTTTGCAGGTTTGGTTCACTATAGAGCATAGCTGCTGCTCCGTAACATAGGTTTTACTGAGGAGATGTCTTCAGTCATTGTCATGTTTTTTGTTGTTGTTTTTCCCAAAGGAGATGTCAAAGGTGTCGATTGGCACCCAGCTTTCAAGACAGTCTGTACTCCACAAAGGTACTATTTTTTTTTAATGTGGAAATCAAGCCTTAACTTGCTCAAAATGTTTAGGTATTTAAGATCTCAACACCCTCTATGAAACATATCTCACTGAAACATGCCTCCAGGCACTTACAAAATGAAACCGCATGGGCTATTCTAGAAAATTACCTGGAGGAAATACTCTTTCACTTTTCATGTGCAACATCTAAATGGTGATTTCTATAATGAGGGCTATACCATTGGAAAAGGATGAGAGAGATGTATTATTCATCTTAGCTGAAGTTATAAATAATCCTCCAAAGCTTTTGAGGTTTATCAGACAAATCTAAACACTTTGGCCCGGTTGGAAATCGACAATCACAGAGCTTTAGATTTTCTGTTTGCTAGTCAGGGAGTTATATGTGCTGTTGCCAACATTTTGTGTTACACTTGGACAAATCTTCCTGATCAGGTACAACAATCCATTTTGAAGCTAAAGGAGATGGCCACCTTTCCCTCTGAGGTCAAACCAAATGGACTCTGGGATTTTTTTTTTTTTTTTAGGTTTTATTTATTCATGAGAGACACAGAGCAAGAGACAGAGAGAGAAGCAGACTCCATGCAAGGAGCCCGATGTGGGACTTGATCCTGGACCCCGGGATCACACCCTGATCCTAAGGCAGATGCTCAATGGCTGAGCCACCCAGGCTCCCTAGAACATGATTTTTAACCTAGGTTAAAATCCTAAGGATTTAAAATCCTAATCCCTTGGCAGGATCCTACCAAGTCTAAACATCACCCTGATTTTTGTCTTCATGTGCATAGTGTATACCAAGTGTAAGCTGTCCAGAGTCGAGAATGTGGGTACACAGGCGCTATCACATCATCTGATCCAACAATCCATTACTTGACAGATGGACCAGAAAGACCAGGTTAGTCCAGCTCCAGACTGTTGTGTCTGAGATGATAATTCTCCTAGAATTCTGACAATCATGTAGAGGCTGCCTTGGTAGCCTTTGATTTGGCCAGAGAATGGCCACAAAGGGCCAGGAGGATAAGAACCTGTGCACCGCCCCATCAATTATGCAGTTCCCATCACAGCACATCTGTGACTTCCCTAGCATTTTGTCCTTCGTTCATCACCTTACCTCACTTGAATCAACCTTGGCCTTGAGAAACTAACCAGGCCAAAGACTGGCTCCATTTCTGATGTCTACCTTCTACTGGAATAATAAAAACCACGGCCTCATTTCTCCCAATGAAACATCATGTCAGGGCTCTTCATGTGACGTTCTCCCCCATTGCCGTTGCTCAGGAAAACTCACTTGCTCGTGTTAGCATAAGTTACTTTTCACTGAGGAGGCTTTTTATACAAGTTATGTTGGACCTGTTTAAATATCGTACGCATTTACCAATATCTGGCCCAGAGCCCTCTGTAAAAATTCACATTAGGTGTTCTTAGAACAGAAACACATTTGAAAAGAGCTATTTGAATCCTTTCAGAGAACCAGCATGCATGCGCTGTTAACTAGTTAATTAATTCACCTGGTTATTCAACAACCATTTTGTGTACCTATTAGGTACAAGACCCCATGCTAGGTGACAGGAATGCCAGCAGTGATCAGGACAGATGTGAAGCTACCGTTGAGTAGCTCACAGAGGTGTTTCTCAAAGGCATGAGCCTCATCATTTTGGCCAGCTCTGCCCCCTATGGCCCAAGGTTGAGGGAGGCCCTGACAATTACCCAAGGCAGCATAGTTAGTAGTGTCCTTGCTCTACAGCTGCCATATAAGTTTGGGTGCCCAGAATTCCTTTGATTTCATAGAGTTAAAGAGCTGGAAGGGACCTTGGATATGGTCATCCAGCCTTTTATTATGTAAATTTTATATACTACATAAACTAGTAAACTGAGGCCCAGAGATACTGAGAAACTTGTCCAGAATCATAATGTGTGTGTGTGTGAGTGAGTGAGATTATGCATTAAAAAGGGCCATAAGCATCATATATTTTAAACAAAATGAGTCAGAATCAAGATCATTTAAAAATGGGCTTTCTGAGAGAGCCCCAATTCATTATGAACTCTAAGAACTTTAATTAATTAATTAATTTTTATTTTTAAGATTTTATTTATTTATTCATGAGAAACACACACAGAGAGACAGAGACATAGGCAGAGGGAAAGGCAGCCTCCTTGTGAGGAGCCCAATGCGGGACTCGATCCCAGGACCCCAAGATCATGACCCCAGCCAAAGGGAGACACTCAACCACTGAGCCACCCAGGTGTCCTAAGAACTTTATTTTAAAAATAAAAGATTGTCTATTTGAATATTGAAGCATCAGTGTTTCCTCTGTTTTGGAACACTAGGATTTTGAAAACTTGGATTTAAAAATATTGCATAATGGGGCACCTGGACGGCTTTGTCATTAAGTGTCTGACTCTTGATTTTGGCTCATGTTGTGATCTCAGGATCATGAGATCCAGCCTCGAGTTGGGCTCCATGCTCAATGGGGTGTCTATTTGGGATTCTCTCTCTCCCTCTCCCTCTGCTCCTCCCCTCACGTATGTACACACATGCTCTCTCTCTCTCTCTCAAATAAATAAAATCTTCTTTTAAAAATCCCGTAAATTGCTAAAAAAATTGCTCATCCACTCTTTACATAAACATTCCCATCACAGTGATATCTGTAGAAATGGTACCTCACAGCCCAACGCTGGTTTCTAGGGTAGGGAGACCTTTTGAGGGGCAGGAGGCCTATTTCCCTGGGCAGATGGGCAGTTCTGAGACAGAGGGCTCACTCAGAGATGGAGAGACCCCTCTGCCCATCTCTCCTGTGCAGAGCTGAGTTCTGTCTTCCCAGACTTGCTGACCTTTGCATGACCCTTCCAAATCCACATAATCCTGTAAAGGTCATCCCACAAACCCATCACCCTTAGCTACATCACAGCCTGAAAAAACGTCCTGGGCTGGGATGAGGGGAAGCTGGGGCCCTTTGAAACTGTCCCCACTCCTTGCCAGTAGAGATAGTCTTTCAGGTCTGGTGTGAGGGTCCTGCAGTTGTGTCTCAGGCTGGGGAGTCAGGGGGCTCTCCTTTCCTTCCCAAGCAGGGATTGTTGAAGGAAGAGGGAATTCATTTAGAACCAGCCTGGATCAAGATGTGCTTTGTTCTTCTAGGTTCTATTCTGCTTTGCAAAGGTGCTCCAGAGGGATTGCTCAACATGGCTCAGGGGGATGCAAAGGGAATGGCATATGGGGGAGATAAACCCTAGGGAATCTGAAGCTGGTTCCCAGACGGGAGAGTTGACTGGAGGGAGATCAACAGAGACAAACTTAATCCCTGTCCTCAGAGAGACCTGCCCACTGGGCTTTAGCAAAAACCTCTGTGCTATTTTTTCTGTTCTTGGAGAATTTAGACAAAATAGCCCTGAGCCCCATGAGGCAGGAGAGCAAAAGGCCCTCCCTGAGCTGGATCGGGGCCTTCGGCCTTCGTGGGTCTGATGGATTGTGTCTGGAGTGACTGAGTAGGGCTGGCAATTGGGAACAGAGCCAAGTGTGGGAAGGAGACTTCGGTGTCTTCAGAGCTGGGGAGACTCTTAGGGATCATCTAATTCAACCCCTTCTTTGGGGGGATGGACAATAAGCAACAGAGACAAAGTGAGACCTGCCCACGTCACACAGCAACTTGTCAGATTTCAAATGCAGAAATTCTGACTCCCAGTCTAACCCTCTTCCTTGGACTGAGTGGGAGTTTAGGGCTTGCTGCTCGTTCATGAGTTCATTCAGCTTTGTGCCTTGCCTTGTGTAAGATCTGGGGAAGAGTCAGAGGAAATTCACTATATGATCTTGGCACTCCAGGAACTTAAACATGTGTGCACACATGAACAATTAAATGGTGATAGAGATTGATGGTACATAGTCTCTTCCATAATGAACCATATGGGCAACAAGAGTTATATAGGATCAAAGCATGGAGAATCGGTGTGCTGAGGTGAGGCCACTCTAATTCCTAGCATGTCTTACCCTATACCTCAGGGGCTGGCTACCCATTTCCCCAGGCTTTGATTTGCACCGTGAATTGCTGGGATAGAAGTGAGCTGATTTGAACTGAACTGAAATGGGTCTTGTCTTGGGCAGAACTGATTCCCTGTAAGTATGGGGTGAGGGCCATGGGGGCTGAGAGGCGGCAACACGGGGGGCCCTCTCTGCCTGGTGCCCTGGAATTCAGGTTCTGCCTAGAAGGTCTAGGGCTTCCTCTCCAGGGCCTCCAGACCCTGGTGAGCTTCTGAAGCACCCCAAGGGGACAAATACAACAGTGCCAATCTCTGGACTGCCCCCATGATGGTGGGGTGTCCAGAAATGGGCTTCTCCAGAGCAGAGCAGTGGAGGCAACAGGAAGGCACTTCCCAGCCCCCTGCAAGTTTCCTGTGTCAAGAGAAGTTGAGCATCCTTCAACCCTACTTGCCAAATAACTTACCGAGCATCGGGTCTAGCACAGAGCCACCAGTGGAGGAGACAGAGTTGTTTCCCAGCTGAAAAGGCAAAGAAATAGTATCTGGCAGAGAAAGAACAGATTAGAGATAAGTAATGAAATGAGCTTTGGCTCAGGGCACGGGCTGTGCCAAAGGTCAGTTGCAGCTGGATGTTTCTGCCAGAACGAGTCCATCTGCCCAGACTGGCCATGGGGGAGCCACCCGTGATGCTACCATCCCTTTAAACATTTGGGGGACTCATCCTGGGGACTTGCCCCGTGAGACTCAGCACATTCTTTCGATTATCCCAGGGGGCAAATCTCTACCTTTTCTGGATAAAGAGGATTTTTGGAAATAATCAAAAGTCATTCACAGCATAATGTAGGGAGAAAATGATTCACTATTTGGTACACCTGAAGCTAATTTCAACTCCAACGGTTGTGTGTCAACTATATTCCAACAACAACCAAAAAAAAAAAAATTAAAAAGAAGAAAGTAGAGCCAATGCAGGCCATCCAATTCAGTTTAGTTCAATTCAACAAATGTTTCTGGAGTGCCCATAGCCTGTCAGGCTCTGTACTAGGCTCTGGGAATTAGACAAACCCCAGCTTTGCCCTCTTGGGGCTGACAGCTTAGCAGGTAGACAATTTAGTGTCTATCTTACCTGATGACCCAGGTAGTGAGTGCATCAAAAAGGTGGGTGGGAAACAAAAGTGCATCAGTAGGTGGGAAAGAGTAGCATTCCGGGCTGAAGGAACAGCAGAGAGGATTATAATATTAGCCATCATTTATTGAGCACTGACTCCGCATCAAACACTATCTGAAGCAGTTTATATAGAGGATCCCATTTAATCCCCAGAACAAAAGTCTGTGGTAGGTGCCATTATTATCTCCAAATTATAGATGGGAACACAGGCGCAGCCTGAGTAAGTAGCTTTCTCAATTAGTAAATAGCAGGACTGGGATTTCAAACCCAGGCACTCTGGCTCCAGAGCCTACTCTGAACTGCTAAGCAAGAGAGAGCTTGTATGTGCTCAGATGGGCTGGCATTGTTTGAAAACAAACAAACAAACAAACAAATAAGGAGAGTTCTTTCCAAGAGTATGCAAATGGAGAACTTTGCAAGCGTCCATCGGGACAATCTCAGCAAAATGATGTGGCGACACAGGTGTAAAGAGTGTTAAGGGTGTGCATACTCTTTGTCCCAGCATTTTGTCTTCTAGAAACTTATTCAGAGGAAATAATTAGGAATGCGCATAAAGGTGTACCAAGGGCAATGACCGAAAAGGTCTCCAATAGAGATCCGGTTAAGTAAATTATAGCACAGTTATGCCACAAAATATTACAGAGTTTAAGAATTAAAAATTGTGTTAGTTACTCTTGTCTTATGTCTTGAGGGTGCTTTGAGGAAGTATGAGAGAAGTCTGCAAAAAAGAAGGAAGGGGTGGGCCGCTCTGTCCAGAGAGCAAGTTGCTGTAGCTGGGACTCCTGGGTAGTTCTGGAGGAGACAGGGAGGCCAGGCCGAGGTGAGGCCTGCAGGGGGGAAGTGAGACTTGGCTCCAAGTAACCGTGACCCAGGGGAGGGGGTGCGGCCAGCCAGCGGCCTGCCTGGGCCCTAGCACTGGCTCCAGGCTCTGGGTTTAAAGAGCTTTAAAAGCTTATTAAAAAGGTTCCTTAGACATCAAATGGCTCTTAAAAATCAATATTTTGATGATTTAAGTACAAGAGAATCAGAAACATATGGATTAAATTGCCCTCAAATTATACACACTTTTTAAAAAAAATGTGTTGGTCTTTAGCAAGCCCCAAATATTTGAAAAACAGATAGAGATATGTTTTCCTCAACTTCAGACAGAGCTCTGCTAGGTCAGCTTGAAGAGCCCACAGAGGAGCTAAGTGGGAATGGGCAGGGCTCAGAGGCAGACATAAGGAAACGTCTGGAGCTGGAGTCTTCTGGCAAACTGTGTGTGTGTGTGCATGCGTGTGTGTGCATGCATGTGTGCATAGGCATGTAAGGGGAGATGCAGGTACACATTCTCCTCTGGGTCTGCCTGGACCCTCCCGAGCCACTTCCCACAGCCAGCCTTGTCCCTGTGTCCTGGGCATTTGTATTTGTATGTCCAGTACTGCACTCAACCCAGGGTTTGAGGGGCTGGTCCTTTTGGTTCACCCTTCCTTGGCCTGCCCTGTCTCCTTCAGCAGCCTGGGCCCTCCTGCAGCAGATGCAGCATTACTCATCCCTGGAAGGTTCGAGCTGGGATAGACACAGGCATCACCCAGACCAGAGGTGATCAAACTTTTCCCAACTGTGAGCTTGTTCTGCAAATGAAATCTTAGGAATGAGGCCCCAGTGTACCTGGTAAGACCAGAGCTGTCACGGTCCTGATTCTTCCCCAGAGAATCCCTGGGGCTCTGAGAGCAGAGTTTGAAAACCACATGTTTCATCTGAAACTCTCATTTTACACCGATGGAAACGGGCCCAATGCAGTAGGACCGGCACCCCAGAAGGGCCAAAGGAAAAGCTGTCACGCACATCCGTTCAGCTTACCCTTATCAAACCAATAAAAATTTACTGCACCCACCCGTTCTCCAGGCCGGCACAGAGTCCTGCTTGGGCTGGTGGATGGCACAGCCCACGGGGCCTCAGCTCTGCAGAGCGCTCTGGCTGTGCAGGGCCCCTGCTGTGCTCGGTCCCACCCCTGGGAGAAGGCAGTTGGGTCAGGAGTGTGCAGCTCTCACACTTGAACTCTGCCGACACAGCCTTGAGAAGACAGGTCATACCTGGAGGCCTGGGCTGAGGACGGGGTGGCTCCTGAGGGACAGGATGGGGGCCAGCTGGTTCCCCACTGCCAGTGCCTTCGGCCTCTGTTTAGATTTAGGCCCTGCAGGCGCCAGCCTCTCTCCTACAGCATTGTCTGCAGCAGAGTCTGGTGCAGAGTTTGCTGCGTGTAGGGCGGGGTGAGAGATCAGAGCCTTGGAAGGGATGGTTGTGACTCACAGGCCCCTAGGGGCATCCCTTGGCACCCCACCTCCCTGGCTAGATCCATTTCTGGACTGGGAGTTGACCCCCACACACACCCCAAGCCTCTATTTCTCTGTCTCCAAGGAACATGCCCAGTCCAGGCCTTGCGTCCCCTCTGAAGGACAAGGGGCTAGTTCTCCGTTTCAGCCCCAAGAACAACTTGGAGATCACTGGCCTTTCTCTGGGGGCCTCCCTGGCCCATTGGGCAGGCTCTGTTGCCTGCCTCCTGTACCTCCTCACCCTCACCAGCGGCCTCCAAGAAGGCTTACTAATTATCATGATGATTTCCACCCAACAGGCAGGTCCTGTTGGCCAGAATCGATCTTGGGGCACTCCTCCCACCCCATATACACGGGGCAGGGGAAGGAGTATCAGAAATGGGAATGAGGGCAAGATGGATGAGATGTGAGGGGATCCCATCGGGCCATCTACTGGCTTCGAACATTGGACCAGCACTGGCTGGCGGGACAGAGCGGACCACTAGTGGTTGGCCACTGGCTATGTTGCTGTCATTAAGAGAGCCGAAGGTGATAAAAAGGCATGTCTGCTGGTCTTACCTATTCTGCACAGCCCTGTCCTCTGGGCCTTCTCTAGGGAGAGAGATCCCTGGCCAGTGTGGGGAGACCAGGTCAAAGGTGGGGATGCACGGGGGTCTGGGTGGAGTGAGGGGGTAGGAGGTAGGCTGGGGTCCCAAAGCCTCACCTGACCTCAGAGCAACGGGCTGAGGGCTGGTAACAGATTCCCCGAGGACCGTGGCCACCTCGGCTGGGTTGAGCTGGCACGCAGCCCACAAAAGGCAAGGCGGAAACTGAGAAAGGAAGCAAAGCGCTCTCTCGGACACCACAGAAAGGAAAGGGAGTGGAAAATGAGGCCCAGCTCAAGGTTTCTATTTCCAGCCACGCTTCTCCCTGTCACCTCAGTGCTCAGCCCCTGGAGACACCACGACATGGAGAGAAATGAGAGATGGGAGATCCAGCCCCCTGGCTTGGACCAGGCAGGCCCTAAGTTTATAGTTACCCTGGGGTGGGGGCTCGCCCCCCACGGCATTGGACCACCATGTCCACTTAAGCTGGGTCTGTCCTTCCCCAGAACCAAGGGAGACCACACTAAGCAGCCAGCCCTTGCACCCAGGACTCCCAGTGGGCTTCTGGGCCTTGGCCAGACCTGGACCAGGAAGAGTCCTGCCTGGAACAGGGTCCGCATCCTGCCTCTGCACCTTTGTTCCTCCACCCGAGGCCCTCCCTCCATCCTGATCTGCTGCCCTCCCCCAGCCGGTCCCTGGCCAGCTCTCTCACCCAGCTCTCTCACACACAGGACGGGTGGGAAGACAGGAAGTAGGTCTGGAAGGACACTGAGATCTGATCTGGCCCAGAGGCAGGGGCAGCTCTGTCTTGGGTCCTCTTTTCTTATTTGGCTCAATTTCCTTGCCTCCTCCTCTCCCTGGACAGAAAGCTCTCCCTGGGTTCAGAAAGCTCCAGAGCTCCAAGCCAGTAGCTCACCCCCCTCCACCCCCCACTCCCGGGACAGACTTAGTCCCTAGTGGCAACCAGACCTGCAGCCAAGGCCAATACATCATCCTGTCCCATGGATTACTGCCTGCCCCCCTCAGCTGAGCGGACCAGAATCCCGGAGCTCACCTGTGACAACCCTTGTGCCCTCGTCCCCTCACATCAGTTCATCCTAAGCCTCTCACACTCCCTCCTAAATATCTCTCACTCTTTCCCTTCGCCTCTCTTCTTGCCCCCAAGTCCAGGCCACTGGAGTTCGCTGGGATGGCGGCCACAGTCCCTCAACCTGCTCAATCTTACTTCCCATCAGCCCTCTCCACATGGCCAGGAGAGTGAGCTTTCAAAAATGCAGAGCCTGCTCATGTCTTTCCCCTCTTAAAAGACCTGCTGGGCTCCCCATTGCCTACCCAGTGAAGCCCTGGCTTCTTGAGCCTGCAGACCTTGCCCTCAGTAACCTGGCCCATTCCTCCCCAGCTCCTTCTCTGGCCTCTCCCTGCCTGACCTTCTGATCCAGGCCTAGGGAACTGCTTGCATGTCCCAGGCCCCCTAGGCACCCCCTCACCTCTATGCCTTTGCATACCCTGTTCCTGTGTCTGGCATGCCCACCCTGGTCAGCCCCCCTCTCAGCCCACACCTGATCTCATTATGACGTTCCTGGCCTCTGCAGCACGGCTTTGTCTCCCATGGCATCTCCCACTACACGGGGTCTGAGCACCACAGACCAGGATTGTTCTTTGATAGTCTGGAAATTCTAGGTGCCTGCTGAGGGCAGGTGCATGCCTGAGAGTCCAGCTCAGCACCTGGTAGAAGTCCATGGACCAGGGGGGTGAATGAGCATGTCCAAATGGAATGCAATAACCAGTCCCTGTCTGGCACTCCCTCTGGGAGAGGCCCCGTGGGGTCCAGGCCCCTGAGACACTCTCTGGGCCAGGGACCTGGTCCTTGCAGAAGCAACACGCAGCCCCGCTGTGGCATCTGATTTTTTTTTTCTTTTTTACATGTAGGCTGCTTTCGATACAGCCCAGGCGTGGCGTGGAGAGGCTCTGTGCACCTGCTCACCTCCATGCTTGAGGGAGTTGCGGAGGAGGAAAGCAACACAAATCTGAGTGGGGGCCTAGAAGTTGATCTGGCTCCACCTACCTGAGCTACATAGCCCCTCGTTTCTGTATTCAGGCCGCACATTTATTGAGTACCTACTGTGTGCTCAGCACAATCCCAGGCGCTGGGATACACACGGTAAACGAAATAGCCTCAAGCCCTTCCCTCCAGGAGTCGACGGTCTGGTGAGGAAGGCAGACCTCAAAAAAGCACATTTGAAATTGGTATGTTCCCCAGGGGGAAGGGACCAGAGAGGCGATGAGGGGCAGACTCTGACTTCAGCGGGGGGGTGGGGGGGGTGTCAAACAGGCCCTCTTAGAGGGGTGAGGATGAAGCTGAAACCTCAAAGATGGAAACGAGCTAGTGATTCAGAGATCTGAGGAGAGAGAGAGAGAGAGAGAGAGGAGGCAGCCCATGCAAGGGCCTGAGGGAGGCCCTGAAGCCTTCTCAAGCCTCAGTTTCCCTACTCATGATGGGGAGGCTGCCTCCTCACAGGGCTTCGGTGGGAATGAAAGGCGAAGGATGTGTTCAGACAGACCCAGAGGCCGCTTGACTGTGTTCACCGCAAGCTGGCCGCCCCCCTTGTTCTCCCTCGGGGAGGTCCTGCCTTCTTTCCCTCCTCAGAAAGGACCTCAGCCCGGCAGGGTCTCCTTCAGCCTTATCAGCCACCTTACATCTCAGTATGAATCCAGTAATCAGAATCTATCAGGAAACCAGGTTTTCATAGGGAGGAGAGTGCTGGGATTTGAGATGGAAATGGGTAGAAGACACCCCAGAGGGGTCCATGGGGGAGATGAGGGCTTCCTGACCATGAATCCCTCAAGGAGGAGCTAGAGGCTGGCATGGTGCTCAGAGCAGAGCAGGGTCTCCATTCCAGGTTTGCTGAGTGAATCAACAAACGCCCCACCTCATCCGCAGGTTGGAGCCTTCAGGGTACCGAGTTCTCCGGGCTGCTTTCCTACCCCGTTCCCCTGGCTTTCTTCGATTCTTCTTTTCAGCCTCCCCTGCTCGTCTTGTAGGCTCGAGGAGGGGATTAATGTCCTAACTTTCCCAGTGGACATTTGGCAGAGCCAGCGGGCCCGCGTGTGCGTGTGTGGGGGCACGAGGGCTGTGAGGGGGCCGGAGACAAAGGCCCCGGAGTGAGATTCAGGGCACAGCTGAACTGCCCTGAACTTTCCTTTTTGTTTTCAAGGAAACGAATAATCCAAGAACCACCCACGGGCCTGGCGGCCCTGCTAAGCAGGGCTGGAATGTGCTGCCTTTCCCGTTAGTAATTGTTTATTCTGGTTAGCCTGTAACCCTTCCCCTGCCATTCCCCCGCGGCTGGGACAGGCCCTCCCTCCAGGGCACCAGCAGAGCCCAGCCGGGACTCCGAGGCCGCACTCCGAGGCCGCACTCCAGGGCCGCCTCCCGGAGGTTTCCCGCACGTTCCCACCTGACTCTGCAGGACACGGCCAGTGGGCTTCAGGACGGACCTTGGTGTTGCAACACAGACCATCTGCCTGCGCGGCGACTCCTAACCCCACTCGGCTGTCTGCCTCTGCTCTCACCACAGGCACTTCCGAGGACTCGGGGACCCCAGAAGGCAGTCTGGTCTTGTGTGCGTCCCATAGGCCTTTGTCTGTGTCTGACTGTTGCTGCGTCTGGGATTGTGAATGGGTGTCAGCACGAACCTGTGGAGGAACGTGAGTTTGGGTGGGTGGCTGTCATCTGGGACACTGAGGATCTCAGAGTGGCCTCAGAGTGAGTGTGTGTGTGCGTGTGCGTGTGTGCAGAGCTCAAGTGTGTCCTGGGAGGGAAAAGAGGCTTGCTCCTGAGCTGACTCAGCACCTCTCTCTCTTCCACCAGCACCCCTCCCCCCAGTTGAGGGCCTGATCCTTTGCTTCAGGGAGGAGACAACACCCTCTGCCCCCACATTTCTGTCACTGGCTGCCCATCCCCACCAACAGGAGGCAGCAAACATGGCACCCTGAGCCCTGTTCCAGTTCAACTCCTGGTCTTCAGTCCATAGGGATTCAAGAGGTCAGAGGTTTGGGTTATTTCCTGACCCTCCCAGCCAGGCCCTCTATTCTTTGGTTTTGAGGGAATAGTCGAGAGCCCTCCAGCTACCATTTCCTGAGGTGGCTGTAGCTCCAGGACAGGCTTCAGCTCAGGTGGAGATGATTTCAGAGGAGTAAGAAGGAGCCCTTGGGGGGTCCCTCACTGACCCTCACACCGCCCTCTCTCCACGATGACCACAGCTGCCTCAGCCTCAGATAGGCCTGAGATGCGGCCTTTCATTCTTAGAGTGAGCGCTG